TAAAAAAGCAGCCAAAAAGTTGCCTTCAGGCTTGAGTTACATTTTGAAAAATCCAGTGTCCGATCTTAAACCCTCTCCAAGTTTGGAATAATGTCATCGGTTCCACTTACCCGAAATTAAAAAAATAGCGGTAAAATATTTGAGTACTATCGCGACATCAACGCCATCCGAAAGACTGTTTTCAAAAGTTGGTTCTACTCTTTATCAACAAAGAAATCGATTAAAAGGCTTCTTCAAAATTACTTTTCCTTCAGTCAATTAATAAAAAATATTGGGGTATGTAATAATTTTATCTTTTGCTTTATAAATTTCGAACTTATAGATTGTGTTTTATTTCCTTGTCAATTATTAATGTAAAAATTATCGATGGAACCAACATCGATGTTCGGTTTTCCATAAACATCGAACATCGATGTTGAGCTTTCGATTATGACATCGATGTCAACATTTCRTTATTCAGAGATGTTTTTATACTTCAATGAAAATATATATTTCGATAACAAATATTAAATCGATAATCAAAAAAAAACATAATTATCAATAAAAATATCTGTTGACTTTGTTTTATAATATTAACGAAATTTATGTAAAATTCACTTATTTTTAACCTTTACGTGTTTCAGTTGCATACAAAATATAAAAAAACGACAATCGATTAATATCTATGGTGATTCAGTRTATTCAAAATGGCAGACAAGAGTTCTTTTTCGTTTTATGACTTGCTAACTACCAGGTCTCAAATTTGAGGCARTATTTTGAGACTAAAGCTAGAGGCTGTTTTGTGAACAGTAACTAGTCACAAATTGAGATTTTACCACAAAATGTCTCAAATAGAGATTAGAGACCGGTTACAGAATCCCGTTAAGAGAAACTCTCGATCTGTASATTCGGTCACAGACCAAACACCCATCGACATAATACATGCATCAAAAACAAAAATGCAAAAGCTCAGCGTGATAACATTGCAAGATTCAACCCGAAAAGACAATACAGATTATTTGAGTTAGGCGAAAAGTTTTCATAATAACAGAAGATTATGACATAAGCTAACACCCCTTTGCACAGAAAAAAACAATTCAAACAGCCCTTGGAAYGCCTGTTCTCATTAGAGGGGGGGTGGTACATAAAACAACCTTAAATAGTGGTGGCTTTCATGTACAAACTATCCAATCTAAAATAGCATTTTCAAAGTTTAAGCGCACAACGAGTTTCGATCGTTTCTTTTATTTTTACAGGATTGGACTTGCAATCCTATTAGTATTAGCAGTAGTACGTAGTCCGATTATCGACTACTCTCACTCCAACTATATCCCGATAAGGTACTGGTATGGGTATGGGAGCAACGTGATTGTTTAACAGACCTTGCTAACATAGCAGAAGACACTGTAAAATTAACCAAATTATTTCCTCCGTCGCACATTCGAAAACTACTAGACGTGGATACAGAACACATTACAAATTTATTGTCACTCAAGGTAATAGCAGGCACGGCTGATGCCTCTGGTTTTGAAAAAGTAGGGTGGCCCGAATCCAAATTAAATGAGGCAACAATAGACAGATATTTATTAATACACAAACACAGATACAAATTAATAAAATTACTGATGCGGTGAACGAAATAATTAAAAAGCTAAAAAGTGATTTGGTTGTCACACCGCAATTGTATGAAACACTATTAGGAAGAGATAGAATATGAACAGCTCAAATATCGAACTTGATACTCACAATTACACTAGCTAAGGCGGATATAATAAATCCCCCTATATTTGACCATGGTGATTTGAAATCAATTATGAATGAACACCCTGTCGGAATCCCACAGTTAGCCTAACCGATATAAAGTTAAGGTACTCCATTCCAAGAATATTTTCCATATATTAATAGCGTATCCTAGTGTCAAGCTTATCACCACCTTCCCGGTGGCACAATAACACGTCACACTACAGCTGCGATGACGTACTAGCGGTAAATGAATGCGTAACCACGTCCTATGCCGCCGTCTGTAAGCTGGCAGCGGAAGACACATGCGCAGGAGCATTGCACGCCGGAGACACAGCCCTTTGCCGCACTCAAGCAAGCAACCTAAAGCTCATAATATAAGTCGATGACGGCATTATTATTATCACCGAGAGCACTGAGAAAGTTAGCACAAACGGAACACATCTTTCCACTTTTCTATCTTCTGCCACAACGGTACATGATATGTAAATCGACGCGAAGTTTGAAACAGATCGGCAGGCGTTGCAGGGTCACCTCTACTCCAATCATCAGCCATGATCCAGTTCTAAGCATGCCCTAACTACAGAGGATGAATAACCATGGCTTTATCATCGTTTGGAAAATCATAAAAGGAATACAAACGTCGAGTATGAATATGAATTTGTAATGTAATATTTATGTCAGTTTATATTTGCATATTTAATAATTTTACTTCACTAATAAATATTTTTACACTATACTTCTTACTAATACAATTTAAATTTATCATAACAATATATTATACAAGTACATACATCTTGCATCATATTAATTTTATGTATCTGCATATGCTCATTCGAATGCATAAACGCCTGTGCGCATTCAAAAATTCAAATCATGATTTTATCACATTCGTACGTTTGTATTTTTCGGCTCGGATTTTCTACCAACACAATGTTGTGACGCTTTGTCGTCGTGTCAATGCTGCATGCAATGCATTGACTTTTTGACAAAACGTGAGCTTCGGCCATTGGTTTCCCGTTATATCGGAGATGCGGAAAGATGCGTTCAGGACTTGTTATTCCCTTGTGAATGTTTGTACATATGTATATGTGGCCCGTATTTGCTTTCGTAAACATACAGACAAAAGTTCCAAACAAACAAAATATGTACATTTTTATATCCTGTGTAAGCACTTGCAAGAAATAAATATTAAAAAATGTATTGAAAATAAAATTAATCTGAGATACATATACTTATGCATGTATATTTAAATAGTTAATTAGTTTATTAAATTTAAATTAATGAAATATAGAAATACTTTTTACTTGATAGTTATTAAATTTTTTCTTTATGCATTCTCGCATGAAATCAGTAATTTTACATATATTTCTACCTGAGAACGTGCTCATTTCTCTAAACTAGCAGCGAAAATGGGAATTTGCTTATGATAATATTATACGTCAATGATATTGATACGGATATCATTGGCCTCAACATACGCGGTGTGAATTCAGTTTTCTTCAAACCGCATAAAACCAATGCAATATTTCCTGCCATGAAACAAACAGTCGTCGCACTCGCGRCTTGGCGCTCTCGTCACATCAAAGTTCGTAGATAATTTCGTCCATCTGAAATGGAAATCCAACGTAGAGTAACTTTTTCTAATAGGTGCTACTTCAGATTTAGTAAGAAATTGAGAAGTAAAGTTCTCTCTCGACGAGCATGGATCAAACTCTATAAGTCACTCCTTATTCTCAGTTTGCTATATGGTGCGAGGACATGGACGATGATAACATCTGTTGAGTCGACATTACTAATTTTCGACAGAAATGTTCTACGGAAGATTTATGGACTTTGCGCATTGGCAGCGGCGTATATCGCATTCGATTGTACGAGCTAGCGAATTAAAAGACAGCGGCTACGCTGGTTAGGTCATGTCGTCCGAAAGGAAAAAAAACGCTCCAGCTCTGAGAGTATACGACGCAGTACATTCCAAAGAAAGCAGAGAAAGAAGAAGAACTCTACTTTATTGGAGAAATCAGGTAGGGAAGGACCTAGCAGCACTTGGTACCTCGAATGGGTGCCAAATCGAGAAAAGAAGAAACGACAGTTGTTAACTTGGCTGTAAGCGAGTAGGCGGTGTCTACGGCAGTAAAGAAGAAGTTTAGTAGACCGAGTTCAAGACAATTGTGTTAAATTATAAAAATTAAGTATATTTTAAAATTTTCATTTTTCCAGAAAATTAATTAGGAGTTCCACATAGTCTTATAAAGTTATATGTTATAACGATCCGAAAACAAAGCGTTCAGATTTGAATTTGCGTAAAGTTATTTTAGTATGCAATCCAACAACAATTTTTTTAAACTAGTATAAAAATTTATTTACGACGCTTTATGACACGTCGTGAGTACCCCAAATATTTAGTTTAATATTGTTAATTTGCAGAAAATTATACAAAATGGATTGACGATTGAGCGAAGTCTTAAATTTTAAAACGATATCAATCAAAATATCATTGAAATATATACATATAATCAATATCAAAAAATGATCATGTTATGATAACAAATGACATACAGATTTGGCAACGGCGATGTCAACAGATTTGACAGTTATAAGCATAAGTTTAGCCTGTCGAGATGTGGGGCTACAATCGAAATCAATTGTCGTGTTTGCTATATTTGGTTGGTTAAGCAGTGAATACACCATTGTATAACCCTAGGTTTATACAATGGAATACACTTGCAGACTTCTATGCATACCACCGGGTCGCAAGTCAGTTTCAATTTTTGAAGTTATGGCATCGGATGATGAAATTGTTTCGCTGCTTTTAACTTCAGTGTGCACTGATAACGAAAAGAAAAGGAAGGCAAAGAAGTGAAAATAACGATTTTGGTGTGAAAATTTTATAAAGAACGKGAAATTTTATAAAGAAATATTCACACGTACCACTTCTTAAGGAATTGGAAACAAATTCTATAAAAAAAATTAAAAATTTGGTTCGAATGCATAATGAAATTCTAAGAACTCCTGTCAATGGTGGAACCCCTAATAAAAAATGGATACATTCATGAGAGACGTAATTACGCCCTACGCCCTCTACGATTTTTGTCATCCGAAGAAAGCTTCGAGGATTTAAAATTTTTGGTAGCAATTTCATCATCTAGTCTCAGTCAAATTATAATGGAAACTTCCGAAGCCATAATAAACATTGATGGAATGTATTTATTATTGAAAGTGAAATAATATAATTTATAAAAATAAAATAGATAATTCAAAACTTGGAAATTAAATTAAAGTTCAATTATATTGAGCGTCCATAAGCAGTTGGTGAAAAGACTGCGCCGAGGTGCAATTTTCAGAATTATGTGACAGAACATTTTCTGATTCTACAAATACTGGCTGCGAATATTCATTCTCAGAAACACGTAGACGTGGTATTTGAGTAATCACTGTAGGAAAAGGTTCTGGAATAGATGACGATGAAGTGCATGGGGTCGATGCGCATGATATTCTTCAGATTCTTGGATTCCTTTGGACGGTGTTTATTCGCACAGCATTCATATTGAGGTTACCTAGCTGTCCATGKAGTACAATCTCCGCAATACAGCGTTTTGCATATATTTGCTGCTCCGTGGAATTCAGCAAATACGTCAGTATGGCCTTTTCAAGAAATTCTGAATTGTTGTATGTTTCTTTCGTTTTCGTGTGCTTTCAGAATCCATCTAAAAATAAAAGGAAACTAAAATTAGTCCAACTTTTCTTTCAGACTCAAAAAAAACGAAAATAAGTGGTAATTTTTTGCTGATGACTTCTATACAATGTGGAACTTCTCCAACTGCATTGGAGCATTAGACGGCAAGCAGGTCGAAATTAAGAAAACCACCTGGAACAGGCACATATTATTACAATTATAAAAAATTCTACTCTATTGTTATGATGGCCGTTGAAGTTGGTGCAAATGGAAGAGCATTTTATGGTGGAATATGCGGTCAAAGCAAATTTAAAAAGAAATTTGATAACAATGAATTGTATATTCCCCAAGCGGCAATAGTCCCCATGAGTTTGCTCTTTATCGACATATTATCTTTTGGTGTCACTCTGTGCATTCACAAGAGGGAAAAGAATCCTCATATATATAAATAATTACGATGAATCTGGTAGAAGACTATTTTTAATACCCACTCCCTTCACTCTTCCCTTTTCTTCAATATGTATTAAATACCCGCTATTAATATTTTCAAGACTGCGTCGCATTCTTACATCGGATAACAAAAACGCTTACACAGCACATAGTACACTTTTAAATTCTACTTGATTCTTTCAGTTTTCAGTACACAAATCAAAAAGCAATTAATATCACGGGATAAAACTTTGCACGAATAATGTATTTAGCGTATGTTACCTTATGACCAAATATGGTTCAAATCCAACAACAATCGGCCCCTAGATACCGATTTTGTGGACCCCACTACCTATAGTAGACTTTTGAACGAAAATATCGTTGGCACAATTCCGATTTCTTTGGCGCCGCGATTTGAAGGTACCGTTGGAAAGAGGAAGTACTCCTGATTAAAAAAAATATAGGGTTATAGGTACCGCAAACGCTTAGTTGACGAGATATTTCTAGAAGCTATTTCACCACATTAAACTTTACTCACATTATTCTTTTTAAATTAATTAAATTAAACTATAAACTTTTAAATAAAACCACATTTTGCAATTTTAGCAGGCTTTTTACATAAGAAATTTTTATTTTAAAAACTACATTTTACACTCCTAGTGAACATCATTTGTGTGCTAAAAATTAGAACTAAATGGAGCGCTGCCAAGTGATGATAAGCCAATTCGCTAAAATTCCTCTTTTTCCTCTGTTCTTTATTTAATTTAATAAGCAAATAAGTTATATTACTTAGTAATATTATATATATTGTCACCTAAAATWCAAAACAACGTATCAAAAATAAATGGGAATCGTTGACAAATATAATAACCAAAATTTAAAAATTTTGTAACGAAAACTCAATATATAGTATTTTTTGTTTTTAACGCAGAAGGAAGCACTACTCAAAAGTACTTCAGTCACTCCTGATATTCGSTCGATCAGGGTTATTTTTTTTAGAGCGCGGAGGCAGAAGTACTACTCGAGAGTCACTCCTGGCATTCGCTCGACTTTGTTATAGCGTGGCCGAAGCCCGCCAACGCAGAAACGAGCACTATGCGAAAGTACTTCAGTCACCTCAAAATGGTATGAGTTTTACAATATTATCATAGAGTTTTAGTTATTTTTGTTTACTAAATATAAATCACATATTATAAATATACATACATATGTATATGGAAAAAGTGTTCACAACTTAATTATAGCTTGAAAAATGTTGGAAAGTATTTTTCATTATAGTTAATATGCTTAGAAAAAAGAATCAGGATAAAAAAGAAACACAGAAAAATAGTTAAATCTCATATATATTTGCTGTTTAAGATGTGGCAACGCTCGTTTTCCTCTTAATTGTAAACAATCTAACCTTTTCAACGATGAGTGTGCTAAGTGATTTTTAAAATAATAAATTTAGGTAAAATATGGCAAAATAAAAATAAATTGTGAAGTTATTTCAATGTTTAGAATGTATATTTAAATATACAGAGTTAAAAACTTAAAAAAAATTTAGTGAAAAGTAGAGAAATTCCATGTGTTATGAGTTCAAATTTTTGAACATTTAACCTTGGATATTTTAAAAAATATTACTTATTCTTGTATTATTTTTGGATATTCCTCCTCTGGAGAAGCTCCCCTATCTGCACATACCCCACTTTATGGAARTTTGTGTTTTTTACCCCTCCGCCAAAGTAATCGGAATCGTGGCATATCGGTTAATGTGTGAGATATGTAATTAAAACYCAGAGATAATCCTTCTCTGACAACGGTATGTCTGTATGTATATATGGAATCGGACCAATGCTTCTATGAGCCCTCATATACTTAATATAAAGATAAATAACTACCGGGAGAATTTGTACCTCATAATTCGGCCAATATGTAAGTTATCCCAATAAAAATAATAGAGCGGGTTTTACTCATAACAGTGTTTTTTTGCGTCTAAAATAGATAAATTCGAGCGAAAACATGTCCTAATCTCTATAAAACTAATATCAGGATTTTCGAACATCCGACTGACTTTACTTTATATGCTGACTTTATGAAAAGAATTTCAAAACCGCCCGAGCCACCCGAACACTCGCCGTCCCCTCGCCCACAAAACCCGGTTTTTGCGACAAATGAGTTTTTGTCTGACCTAGAAACTAATAATAAATTTATTGGTCACCTTTTTTTTCTTAACTGGTATAGACACCGCTTACGCGGATATAGCCGAATTAACAACAGTTGTTTCTTTTTTTTGCCATGTGACCCCATTCGGAGATACCAAGCGAAACCAAGTCATTCAATACCTGGAATTTCCAATAAAATAGAGGAACACCTCTTCTTCCGCATGCGGGTACTACAAAGAATACTTTCAGAGCTGGAGTGTTTTCGTCCATTCCATACGAACGACATGACCTAACAAGTGTAGCCGCTTTGTTTTGATTCACTGAACTAAATTTTGTCGCATATCTCATACAGGTTACCTACTCGCAAGGGACCATATATCTTCYGCAAAACGTTTTTCTCAAAAAATCGTAACGTCCACTCATCAGATGTTGTCAGCGTTTAAGCCCCTGCACCATATACGGAAATTATGAGTGACTTTTATAATTAAGTCTTTGTCGTGAAAAGAGGAATTTACTTCTCAGTTGCCTACTCAGTCCGAAGTAGGACCTGTTGGCAAGAGTTATTCTGCGTTGGATTTCGAGGCTGTCATTGTTATTGCTTTTATTASTGATTTCAAGATAGACGAAACGACGGCTTCGGACGTGGGAGCCTAGTCGCGAGTGCGACGACTGTTCTCCTAATAAGGATCATTCACAATGCGTAACCAGCTGTCAAAATTACWTGACTACAGCTCAAGAAATAATGAATTAAGTACTTACCTGACAAGTATGTCTGAAATTTCTTTGCACCCTTGAGACTCGTAAAATGCGAGTGTTTAGAATATTATTTTGCTCCCGAAGAGTTAATTACGTGTTATATTTGAATTAAATGCTGTTGTTCTTTAAGTTTATATGTTTAAATTTTTACGAATTCTGACTAATACTGACACAATGCTTTCAAATACTTTAAAATCTCCTGTTACTCATTTATGTAAACTCAGGTTTTTCTCTGAATTTTCTATTATACTGGTTAATAGTCAGAATGATAGTAGCGAAAATTACCATTACAGTACTCTTCTACCTCCCAAGTGCATGTTCACAATAAATCCATCACGGTCGCCTCAGGTGAGTAAGGGGGAGGGGTCGAAACGGATTGCGCAAAACAAAAACACGCTATAAGAAAAATGTTTATTTTATGCTCTAATATCTCTATTTAATTTAAATATGCTATTATCAATTTTCGTTACAGAATGATGTTTATTTTGATTTTGAAAAAAAATTCAATTATAATAAAATGATGCAGATAGGCTATATTTATACCCTGAAAATTATATATTAAGTTCGTCACGAAGTTTGTAACACCTAGAAAGAAGCGTCGGACACCCTATCATGTATATACATATATGAATGATCAGTCTGTTGACCTGAGCCGATTTAACCATGCCCATCTGTCTGTCTATCCAATTGTACATCCGTCTGTCTGTATATATACGTACTAGTCTTTTGGAGGATGGGGTCATGTGTAGAAGTTCACGCAAGTGAGGARWRTTCTCTGGTCGCCATTCACTTGGGAGTGGCCAGTAACGATTCTTTTACATATGACTCAAGCAGCTCACGACTTCCGGTCCTTGGCAAACAAAATAAGGACTACGAATTGAGGGCACTCACCTGGAATGTCCGGTCCCTTGATTGGGAAGGTGCCGCTGCCCAGCTGGTTGATGTCCTCGTAAAAATAAAGGCTGACATCACCGCCGTCCAAGAAATGCGATGGACGGGACAAGG